AACTTTGAGATGACACCGACAAGGAAAGAGAATTGGCACTGAGTTAAATGGTTTTGGTGATGGCCAAGCATATGGACAACCAAAAAGAATTAATTAGGACAATTATGGCCAAAAAAAAATGAAAAATTCTTTTGGAACATAATTTTAAACACAGTTTTCTGTTTTGCCAATCAACCGTTTGGCTATAATGTAGAAAAATCGTTGTAACAAATTTATCAGTTTGTCTTTTTACAAATTTATAATCATAGTTTGATAACAGAGCATTAGTACGCGCTGTTTGCAATGTATATGCAATAAGTAATTAAATAAAACTTTGGTCTTCAGGAACAAATTGTGTGAAGAATACAGCGGAAACAGCGTCAATGTTGTTTTCTACATTTGAAGTACAACTTTGCTCCTCGCTTGGTACTTTTAGTATGGTAGTGATTGAAAAATGAACAACTAGTGCAAACCAACTAAATATTCATGAGATGTTAAGGTGCTATCAAACTTAGTTTTGAGTCGTCTTTGCAGTTTCTGCAATTTGAATTTGTTTCAAACATTTCTCTTTTTTCCCATAATTTTTCATTCTTTTTTGTTTTGAGATTTTCGACAACTTTGTTAATAATAACTTTGGTAGAAGATATTGAATGAAGAAAACCAAATAGAATTGTTGTAGTTGAGAGCAGACAAATTACTAACGACTGGCAATTTATGAATGAACCAAAAACTCATTTTAGAGCAAGAAGTGAACAGATAAAATAAAAAAAGAAAAGAGAAAAAAATAAGCAAAATATTTACGCAGGAAGGGATTTTTTTCTACTAGTTTAAGAAGATGATTTGGTAAGCCAAAGGCTTTTTTGTTTTAGTTTAAAAAAATTTTCTTTCTTTTTTATTTTTTATTTGTGAGCAAATATTAATGTTTTAAAAGTTTTTGATTGTAGAAAGAAATGACAACAGAAGCAATACGGGAAGAACTTAATAAACAGTTATTATTTTGCCTACGACCTCACCAAAGCGAAACTGTAAATTGTCCTTAGCGGGGTTGTTATTTTCTGTCCAATTTGAATGACTTGTCACAGCTTTGTGCAACAGTACAGCAAAGGACTGATGTTGTTGCTGCTAGCATTTGATAAAATCAACATTTGAAAAAGAAAACATTTACGCTGAAAGCAGGCAAAATAAGGTAGATTGTTTTTGTAGTTACTCCTTTGTGAAATTTTGGGAGAATTGGTTTTCTAAAGTGAAAATAACCTCAAAATTGAGGGTAACTGTCGGCGGGAGAGAAAAGTTGGTTAGATAAGCGTCCGATAAATAGTGGTTGTAATGAGCCTAAAGATAGGTGATGATGATGATCAAGATAGAAGGTTATTTGAAGGAATGCGGAACAATGACCCTGACCCAGTGTTACTGCCCCATCAACACGGCTGGCACCTCAGAAATTCTTCTTATTTTTCTTTTAAACTAATACTTCAACCGATTGCGTTAAACCATTGTCATTTTTACATCCTTCATAAAAGACATAAGAAAGGGAACGATAAAGAGTGCAATTGTGTGTGACGTTGTTCAACAAGATGAGCAGTTTATGAACGTTTTAGAGACATTCTTTTTAACTCATTAAGCCAAATACATTCAATATGCTCATACATTTTTATTTATCCTCGACTGTATTTTGCTTCTTACTCAACTTCTAAAAAAAGGAACTCTCGACTTCTATTAAAAAAGAAAGGAAATTAATAATTATTCTTAAATTGCAAAAAAAATAACAAATATTTACATATACCCAGATTTGTAAAATTAAGCATCGCCAAGAAATTGAACCTAAAACAAAATCGCTAAACAGAAAAAGAAAGCATTAGAAGTTCTGGTTAAATAAGCCTTATTGTTACAAGATATGACTAGTTCAATTTTTGACAATACATCTGAATTGTTCAAAACTTTCAAGCATTTTTTTTTTGTAAGCTTTAAGTCGGTTACAAATTACTGTAACATTTTTGCAATTACTGAGACAAATGACATATATCAAGTCGCCTCCGATATTTTTGAACGTAATTAGTATGACTTTTAAAGAAGTGTGATATCAGATATATGTAAATTGTCATATTAATTCGAAGCGTTAAAGGAGACTGTCTATCTACAAGAGTTTGACTTTTTTCTAACGTCAGACTGTCATTTGAAAGCAGCGTAAAGACACCTTTTTCCATCCACAGTTTTGATTGAGGTGACTAACATTAGTTTTCTAGAGCTTATCAACCAACAGAAAACATATTTGTCATTAGATTACAGTTTAATTAGAATATAAATGTCTGTACATAACTGTTTAAAAAAATAGCTCTAGGTGCTTGACATAAGTGAGGAAGTTTTGGGGTTATGAACGTTAGATCAAGTTACTGGACATCAGACCTCCTAAATATCTAAAAAAGTTTTTTTCACTTTATTTAGCTGTAACAGTATAGCTTAAAGTTTAAACTTAACTGAGTACTTCAGATCTAACTTTCACTTTGTACTAACTTTTTTAAAAAGCACACATCTTTAGGAATAAATTTACATGGCATAAAAGTAACAGAAAATGCACTTCGTTTCGTATCAAGCGTTCAATTTTAACGCGTGGACAGATTTATGTGTTAAATAAACGTTTCACTAATCCCATTGAAACATTCTAAAAATCAGCAAAAATTTTCGAAACGAAACAATAATTGCAAAAACCCCAAAAAACCACAAAGATTGGTCAGTCAAAAATTTTTAGTCAAATGTGCGTAGGATTAGTATACAGCCTGATTAGGTGTTTTTTTCTTTTCTTGGGTGCTAGGAGTTCTTGCTGTCGTTTTACGCAAGTTACGGTTAAATTCCGCTCTTTTTTTAATGAATCAAACAACGTATTAGGCAGATTAGTCATACAGAAATTCAAATCTCATGTTTAGCCCTAAAAAATTCAAAATGAACTAGCGATATTCAGTAATGATTAAAATACAGGTAACCTAGAGAACAAATTAATTCATTTGAAACATCCTATCTAACAACCTTTCTTGCTTTATACTGTAACGGCATGTCTAAACCGTGCAGGATGCTATAGGAACAATAAACACCAAGTTTTGCTGATTAGGTTAAAAGAATTTTCTACATATCTTGTTATGACAAAAAGTCCTCAAAAAATTTTGGTGACACTCAAGTTTTATCAGTTTAAATAAAAAAAAATGTCTAGACTACACGTGAATTGCCATTTTGATAGCTTTTTAGTTGAAAAAATATATGAAAATAAAAAACAAGATATATCGTAGGCATTTGAGTTGTTTCAGAAAATTATACATCTGTTGTAAGAACCTGAGAAGGCTACAGTGCGCAAAAGTCGTGTAAAATTACCGATAAAAGACATATAGTAAAAAGACAGCAAGCGAAAGCACGTGAACGCTGGTGTTTGAGATCGGAAATGATGAAAACTGAAAAGTTTGTTGAAAGCAACTGTTAATAAGTAAGATCAGATATATTGGAAAAAAGTTGAAATAGATTTTTGAATAGACAAATTGGCCGGCGACCTTTGGGTGACGATCGAACATGAATGTTGAAAGGAAGGGAAACCACGTTGAAATAACATTTGTTAAATATGTACATTATCTGAGTTTTGACATGTGTTTTTCAAACTGTAAGGAAACGTCTACTCTCTTCTCGCTTCCATCAAAGCATTGTTACTTATTACAGATTTGACAAGTGACTTTAACGAGAAAAACCGCTACTCGGTTATCTTTTTCAAAAGTATAGGCTTTGTTTTTTTTGCACTTACAGTGCTGAAAATAAATTAGGCAAATTGAAACTAATTTAGAACTCAATTTTTTAGATCAAAGTTTGCCACTCTTTAACTAATAAAGCCACTGTCAAAGGTAAGATAAATCGATAAAAAAAAAAAGCTAGTTTGATTTTAGTGATTACAACTGATTTAAAGTTATTTAAGACACATACATAAAAATTATTTTTTTGATTTATAAACTTAGTTATGAGAGAATATTTCTGCTATTTCATAAATTTAATTTTCTAAGAATAAGTCCGATATTTACTTTTGTTGTTTATCTGCCGGTTATTCTAGCAAGATTAAAAATCTTTATATAAATTATCGTCAAACTTTTCTGCAGTTTGGTTCCAAAAAAAATTTTGTGAATGAAAAATAGATCTACTGATACGCTATAAAAAGTTTTAAAGTCTTAAAAATTATAAGCTTTTTCGAAAAAAAATCACTTTTTTCACTGATTACAAATAAAAATTATGATATTAACAAGGGTCTCTCTTGTCCTTTTTAGATAGCAGTAATGCCAGTGCTAAAACTGTGCAAAAAAAAGTCACTGTGACCTGAACAATCTATCAAAATAAATTTTTCAACCTTCATTATGTTAGAAAAAAAACGAAAAAAGAAACGATGAAAACAACAATTTTTTTAAATTAATTTTATTACCACTAAAACGCTTTTGCTTCAAAAAAAGTTAAAAAAATTTACTGGTCATAAGAAATATTTGTGGATTTGTCTGCTTGTTCAAAATTACATAATACGTTTAAAATAATTAAGGAAGAAGAAGATTAAAATGAGTTAGTATAGTTTTGCAGGTAATTTTGCTAAATAGGACTATTTTGTTAATATCTGACCGTTTCTACAGCAGCAGAAACTGCAGCGAAAATCACAGTGTCAAGGACAAGATTCAGGTAATAAATCTTCTGTTTATTAAACTTTTCTTGCTACCACTAAGCTTCGTTTAGTGCTAAGCAAATGTAAAAACAACAATAACTAAGTGTTTTAAACGCTACTTTTCCAAAAAAGATAAATTTAGTAAGAGCGGAAGAGAAGTAGAAGACAGACAAAACGTCTATTTAACGCTCATAAGCCTAATCACTACCTATAAATCTTATTCATTTTACTGGTTTGTGGAAAAACCAAATTGATGATCGTCCATACTGTTCTTAAAATTGTATTTCTTGGTTATTCTTGGCACAAAAACGATCCATTAGCAAATAAGGATATCAACAAATTAAAAGAAAAAAATCAAGGGAAAAACCAAAAAATATTCAAATTTGGGTGTTCAATTTAAAAAGATTTTTTTGAAAAAGATTTCTATTCAACATTATGTAGTTATTCCTTAGTTTAACTGTATTTTTGTTGTTTTGCTTGACAATGCTTTTTTTTTACGCCATTATCTGTGCAACAAATCTCTGAAAACAAATTGTTCGTTAAGAACGCTTATTTTTTTTGCTTGAGACTTATAAGTTGTATTTTTAAATTTTACACTAAGCAAAAAAGTTTTCATTATTTCTTCTAGACTCGATAAAGCCAAACAAAATACTGCTGTGGTTAAGACATTAAAACAGCTCAGATTTCGAATCCATAAAATTTATGCTTTCCAGAAATATTAGAAAAAAACGTCAAAACATAAAATTGACAGTTTCTTTATAAATGAAATTAGTTACTTCGTTTATTGCTTTAAATAAAAAAAAGACAGAAGAAAGTTAAGATTATAATAAATAACCTATTCAATACCACACAAAAATAGTTAAATACAAGTAAAAACGGACATATATTCACATATACATCTTCGGTAACAACACGTGAAAACTTTGATGACTATTTTTAAGATAGTAATAACAAGGGAAGAAAATCAAAATTGCAGGTGACGTCTAAAAATTAAAAAAAAATGCTATTATTACACAATTTTCACTTTATATAAATAAGTTTAAAGACTTTTTCAAACCACTCTCTTTGATATGGTCTCGGCAAGAAAACAACTAAGTTTTATTTTCAGTTGTTACAGCAGGCAATATCAATTTCTACTTTTTCTCTTGCTTCATCTGCTAATGAAAAAAAATTAATAGCCGCCAGGATGTTGATCAGCTTTCCGTCTGTAATCTCCGTTAACGTAGATTCCATGATCGGTAATATCAATGCCCTGTACAATACCTTCAAATCCGGTAGTTGGTTTAAACTTTTGGCCGTATTTCTTCTCCAAATCTTCTAATAACTTCTGAAAAAGCAACAGCAAAAATGAAATTGCTCAACATATGTTGATCAAAATCATAATAATATTATAAAACAGAAGTGATATTTACCTCTGGAACTTGATCAAATTGAGTAATATCAGGTGTAAACTGATTGTGTAATGTCGGGGCATCAATAGCTTCTTTAATCGTTTCGTTGAAAAACAGCACCCGCACAATTGGTTTTGCTAATGCAGAAATGATTTTCGACCCTCCAGAGGCACCAATCACCATACGAAGCTACAATATTGGGTCGTCGTTAAAAACAATTCAGAAAACATTCACTCCCTGCTCAGTTTCTGAGCGACAAAAGTAGAAGACGCTTCAGAAAAAACAGTATTTAAAAGTATTTTGGCATGGCAGAGCATACTAATCTTATTGAACTTAGTATAATTATTACATCGCCTGTACTTTTTTTGTAGATTACTATAGGACTCATGCTGCTCATCGGTTTCTTCCCTGGTTCAATAAAGTTGGTTTCTGATGGGGCAAACCCGAAGCCATTTGGCATACCTGACAGTAGATATAAACATTTCACAATGTGAAAATGACCATCTGAAACGTGACATGAAAAGCGACAGAGAAAAGAAAAACCTGGAGTGGAAAAGTCGTCCATTTCATCATTCCAGACTATCCCATATTTGTCTGATTGCACACTGGCACCGAACCTAAACATAAAACAAGGTTACTATAATATTTACATTATATTTTGTATTACAAAAAAATAGCATTTCAGCCTGCTTTTTAATGACAGTCAAAAATTCATTAGATTGCGTCATCCTTAATTCAAAACTTACCAACGGTTTACAGTAGTCGTTCCAGAAACACCGTTGCCATATTCGTCAAGAACTGATACGTGCGATGTCCCATGATCAGGTGGCTACAAAGAACTAGTTATTAAAGTGTCCATGGTCGTAAGTTCTTGAGAAGTAGGTGACTTGATCAATATATCAGACTGAGCTTGAAAAAAGCAGTAAAATCAGTAAAAGCAGTAAATAAGTCGTTTAATAGGTTATCAAGGCACAAATTGAAATTCCAACCAGTGTTTGGTTTACGCCACCATAGTAGGCCGAATCCTGTGCTCGTGAACGAAACTTTTTGAAAATTTCATCTGCATAGTTTTTAGTAGTCATTTTTTCAGCGAGAATTCTAGCAGATTCTACGAAGGCTTCGTCTCCTTAATATTTTGAAGACATACATTTAAGCTTTTTAATATTTAACTTGTTTTCTGAAGTTGGCGATCAAATAAGTTAGTCGTGAAATGACTCACCCATAAGTGTACGCTGAGCGTATGCGAACTTTTGGGCTTCGATAAAGCGGTGGTAGAATTCAGGATCAGAGGAAAGAATGCTTTTGTCTGATAACGGTCCATAAAATCCTTCAATAATCAATGTTCAGCTGTACTCATAAACTTTTCTTTTAAAACATGAGCCACTGTTATAAGAAGAAGCGTTCAAAGTCCTATTAATTAGCAGGTAGCTGTTGGTCTTACTTGCCATCATGTCAACAATTAGTTGTGTCACAGCGAACGATCCTGGCGGTGGTGGCCCACACATCGCCAAGTCGTCAGCAAAATGATCATTTACCAGCGGGTGTTCATAAAGCTTAGCCTTGAAGTTGGCCATGTCCTCTATAGTCATAATACCGCCTAAAATCTTACTTTTCCCTTAAAATACACTTATTTCCTAACCATTTTTTTCAAATGAGTAAAATGTTTGTGAAGTTTCAAAATAATGAAAGCTTAATGACCGTTTGCTTGAATCTCCTCAACGATCGTCTTTGCCATTTTACCTCGGTAGAAAAGTTCTTCTGGATCGTCACTTTTTGCAATTTCTTCCAGGGCATTGGCAAGTTCCAGCCGCTTTATCAAATCACCAGCCACATAGGTCCGGTTGGTTTTCTCATTTATCCAGCCGCTATAATTAGCAAATTAATATTATTTCCAGGCATATCAGATTGTAGGTTTTCTTAAACGATAGGTTGACTTTGTCGCTGAATTTCTTCTCATACATGTTCCTTCTTAAACAAAAGCAAAAAAGTTTACAAAAAAAATATTTACTTCATTGAAGAGAAAGATCGAAAATGTCTTTCCTTGACAGTAAAAACATGGGCTAAATATTCAGAAACTGGAACACCATTGCGAGCCAAATCAATCGCTGGTTTAACCAAATCATACCACGGCACTTTCCCACTCCCAAATTTTTTATACACTAACCAGTAACCAGACAATTCGCCAGGAACTGCCATGGCACGATATCCTACAAAAAATCGAAGACCAATCTTTGTTTACTATTTTAAACAACGAACATTGCTTATGCCAAAAAGATATGTAAAAATAATGTTTAGCGAGAGATATAGTTAGTGTCAAATAAACATTTAAAAAGCCCACCGTATTTAGAGCCAGTTTCGTCGTTAAGAAACATATCTCGGTGCGCTTTTCCGGGAGCAGTTTCACGAGCGTCCACTACATAACACCGTTTTGTGGTTCTATTCAAAAATTTAGATTCGATATCAAAAAATACAAATTATTGCGATTTTCTCACAAAATTTTATTAATTTTTTAGCGATAGAATTTATCAAGTTAGGCTTTAACTGAAATACAGTTATTACGATGACTGCAGAAATGGTAAAAATGGTTGTTTTAACAATCAAGCAGAGTTCCATATAGATCTTTTTTCGAGAAGTACCTATTGTATAATGTCATAATAAAGCCACCACCAAGACCGCTACTTTGTGGATTCGTGATTCCCAAGCAAAACAGAGACGCAATTGATGCATCAGCTGCATTACCGCCACGAAGGAGAATATTCCTAACCAACAAAAATAAAGTTCAGATTATGAAAAAACTTGTTTAGTTTGATATAGCAAATCATTTTGAGTAAAATTTTTGTTACTAAGTTGGCAATTGACCTTCCAAATTCGCTGCATATTCCGTGATCACTTGTAACTGCTGCTTTTGCGTATTTGGCCATATAACTGTAGGATGGCGGTGGCCATTTGTAAGACGGAGTTTTGATTTTCTAAAAACTGTGCAAATCAAAAAAATGGCAGAAAAAGGCATTGCAGACTGGTGGTCAATTGTCAGTTAAAAAAAATTAAGGTGTTACCTTGTTTACCGACTGTAAATAATTAATAGGTCATTTTTGGAATTTTTAAATTTTTCATTGCGTATTTTAACCATATGAGAAAATGATTTTTTGTAGAATTTTAATCATTTCCAATATACTCATTATATGTAGTTTCCAACAACTGATAAGCTATTACGAAAAATTGTTTTGCACATACTATAGAACGTATTTAAAACACGCTATTTTAAAATGTAACGGGTTGACTGCGCAAATTAAATTACTTCTTCAGCACTGGTGAACTTCGGTATTAAAGTCACAGCAAGCACGAAGAGTGTCGCAAACAACATATTTTCTTAAGCAGCCGAGGAGCCAAAACCTGAAAGCTGTTACTGCTTGGAATGAAACTCTCATTAGCCTCTTCTTACGCATTAAAACAATAAAGAAAGAGAAAAAAATAAAAAGTATTCAATTACTCAGAGACAATTTAACTAATGACTAACTGTTAAGAATATCTACAAAGTTTAATACGATGACGAAATAACTATTTTGCAGAGATCAAATACACACATTTCATTATATGATAAGCCAAATAAGATCAAATAAATTAAGTCAAACATTTGGTAATAACGTTCTCTTTGGAGAAGTTACAATATATATAAAAATATATATAAATATAAATATATTTATATTTATATATACCTCAGTGCCGGTTTGATTACAGTTTGAATCGTTCCATAAAGCAGAGCATGTTACATAAAGGAAAACTACATTGACAATTTGTAGTCAATTTCTGATTACGCAAAAAAAATTTTTTGCTTATGTTCTGAATTCTTACTTTTTT